GATGATCTGCGCGAGACTCTGGTACACCGTAGCAAGATTCTTGGCAAGGACCGGTTCTTGAACAAGTACTACTGGTTCGAGCACAACGGCATGCCCTTCGGCGGTGTTCCTAACAGCTCTACTGCCGAATACGGATATGCCAATGGTCGCATCTGGGTACAAGGACCGAGCGAACATGAACTTGGACCGAACCTAGAAGAGCCTGCCCTCTCCCAAGATATGCAGCGTTTTGGCTACACTGTTCCGCAGCGCAAAGAGCGAGAAGAAGGCCCGACCCACCTATCGAACTCCAACCAGTGGGCATACTACGACGATCCAGAAGACATCGACAAGCTGCTTGTGTGGCTCGACGAGCGAGGTCACCGAGAGCGTGTTTTGCGTAAGGAGCTACAAGCGTTCCGTGACCGTATCGCTGAGTACATGCTCAAGATGCGGAAGCACCTAGAAGACTCCAACAAGCCCCAGGAAGAGGAAGAGGATGACAACAAGACTCGAGTGTCGACACGCAATAAGACCAACGCCGATAAGGATGTTCCCAGGGATCGCTGCTTGCTCTGGACCAACAGCATCATGCGTGAGGAGTTCGGACATAACCATGTCGAAGAGTACGAACCACCGAAGAAGGGCAAGGCGAAGACAGTGAAGGCAACCAAGGCTAAGGGCCGAGGACGCTAACGCAGTCTCTTGGTGCCACAAGCTCACACAAGAGGCGAAGCATAACGGAGACGACCACCGGCTTGCTCTAAACCACGGCCACAGATCACTACATATGAGCTTACGGAGCAGCAATGCCTCAAAAGCTCGCCAGCTCAGAGGAGCTACAGAGAAGAGTTGAGATACCGGAGCATATTCACGAATGATGATTCAGCATATTTTGGCGATTTACGGAGTTTCGATACCATGAGCATAGGCACTCAAAGTACATATCGTGCATTTCCAGGCGTTCGCAGAGGTGCGTAGCCGACTGTCACTGCGGCGAGGTGGCTCGCTGGGAGGTTTGATTCAGCAGAATCCCAAATAACTGACTGCGGCCGGTCCTTTGTGAGTGTCCGTGTTTGGCGATTTGCCGAACTTGATATCCAAATGCTGTTTCCAGCAGGAGCATCTTGAGTAAATGTGTAGCACTTAGCATGTATTATAAGCGTATTGTTAATACAGTTGAAAATGCCAAAAAAAAAGTTTCAATATAACTATCGCGTGCAACGCGATGCCTGAGAACATGGTGAAAGCTAACCTTGAGACGAAGTGACGAAGACGTGTTTGTGCACGATACATAATCATCATACGAGATAATTAGTGTTCGACATCACTGGGAATCGTACAGTTTTATCAGTCTTACCATTGCAATCCATGCTTTACTTCAGTTCACGGACTGTTGATGTTTGATTGATTGCAGCTGACCGGTTGGCCATTTCGGGTTAGTACGCGATGCGCGGCAGCTTCACGCGACCGGAGCCCATCAGCGGCGCATGCCTCCAGACCCGTCGCATCCCATCAACAAGAGACATTTCCGCATCTGGAACATTTGCACCGCACCTAGAAAGATCCCTTGAAGGGATCAGAGGCACGCCGAAGCATTCCGCAGGCTTCATAGAGCTGCCAACATGGCTACGAATGGCGCGCGAAAGGGTGAGCTCAACTCCGCACCCCTCCCCGGCTCCGCTACGAACGGGACTAACGTACCGCAGCATCTTCAGCCACAGAGTTCGGAGGGAGCTCTAGCCTACTGGAAACAAGCGCAGTAAAAGATGTCGTCAAATCGGAGAAACCAAGAATCAAGTTGAAGATCAAGAAGCCGGTCCCGAAGCCATCGATCCCTGGGAATTGGAAAGAAAGCGATGCGACAAGTACGTCTGCCATAACGCGCTGTATGCGTACATGCGCATGAGTCTATGGGATTATCTGACATGTTACTAGATGTCGAGAACAAAGCGACCGCACCATCGACTACTTCGCCAGTAATCAACCCTCTTGACGAGAAAACTATAGCTGGTTTTCCCAGCGGCCTGCCCCTAGACGACAAGGTAGACACAATACAGTGCAAGCACTGTCGTCGACCTGTCCTCCGTGCATCTTCGGCTGCACACATTCGCGACTGCTTGAACAAGAAGCAAGAGAAGCTCAAGAAGAAGAAAGAGGCCAAGGAGGCTAAAGACGCAGCTCTTAGGAAAGAGAAAGGCGAAGACGACGAGGGTGGCAAATCACGCAAGTCAGCCATCAAGGGTGCTTCGATAGACGGCGATGGCGCAAAGAAGGGCAAGAAGCGGAAGCTTGATGGAGATGCAGAGAAAGCACCTAACGCTAAGAAAAAGAAGAAGGATGAACCCAAGCAGAAGGGAGCAAAGCCCAAGGGCCCGGTCGATGTCGAGAGGCAGTGTGGTGTTTCTCTACCAAACGGTGGATACTGTGCAAGAAGTCTGACCTGTAAGAGCCACAGCATGGGTCTCAAGCGGGCTGTCCCAGGACGAAGTCTGCCGTACGACATGTTGCTGGCGCAGTATCAGAAGAAGAACCAGGCTAAGATCCAACGTACGTATTACACTGTCTCTTGCTGCCGTATATCGTGTGCTGACGCATTTCAGGATCTCTTATCGACGCAAACGCGCCCCTTCCGGAAGATCTCGAGCCATCAGGCGCTGTCGATTCGGACGAAGAAAAAGATTCTATAATGGCTGCCCTCGCCCGACACCGACCGCGACCCATGGCAACGTACACGCATACCTCGCAACGCTCGAAGTACCAATACATCCGCATGAAAGGCATGATCCGCTCAGCGCTTGGCGCACCTCCAGGCGGAGGTGGATCCATGTTTTCAGGCGGTGACAACATGAGTACCGGTCGTGGCATGGCTCTCGGCATGATGGGCGCACCACTTAGCGCAACCAACGAGCACTTCCCACAAAGCGCTGGATTCGGTGCACCACTGAGCACTGGTCTGGACAGCGGAGCAGGAAGCAGGAGACCAAGCGCTATTGGTGCTGGTGGGCCTCGGCAAATACTGCCCGGTCAACTACCAGGTCCTGGACAACAACGGAAGGGCAGCATGGCGAGTGTTGGCGCTACCTAGGAGGATGAGTCGCACCAAACACCTTGTCCTAAGATTAAGGAGGAGATTACGAATACGGACGCCGATGTTCCCTAGGAGGATATGCTACGAAAGGCGCTCTTGTACAGGGGCAAGGACCACGAATCAGACGGCCAGCAGAGTTAACTAACCGTTTTTCTTTTTCTCCCAACTATGGCTGGAGGTTTGACGGAGTACAGATGTAGTCACGCTCACGGATGGGATATGACGATTACATGATGATCCTTGTATGGGTCAGGAAAGGTTTCTTGGGTTTTGGTTACTGTATTACTATCTGGGGTTGGGAGTTTGACATGATACCCTCTTTGTTTTTACGTTCACTAGGAGACCGTCTAGAGTAGACAATGGTAATGTGATTTTATCACTTGGATTCCGTATAATTCTCATGATTCGTCGTGAAGCCGTGGTCTGCCGAGATTGAGACTATGAAAAGTTTGAAAGGCAACAAGAGAATAGGATGACCCATACACTGCGAGAGCAGTTATAATTACTCCGAGACAGAAAGACTACGACTCGCCTTGCACACCCCAATATCCCGCTCTCTGTGGTTTTGGTACCGTCATCTTGAAGTGCAAATCATCCTCGTCCTCGCCACTTCCTAGCGCATTGTCATCGTCGTCTTCAATGTTGTACTCTTCGTCGTCACTTCCATGACGATATTTGGACTGATACAAATTCCGATCAAACTCATCGTCGTCGCTCATCTCATCTTCGGGATAGTCATTGGCGTAGTAATCTTCAGCATTCTCATCTTCATCGTCGGTATCAAATTCTCGGTCGCTAGTCTCTTCGTTATCCCACCAGTCTGCGTCCTCTTCGCTGATGACCAAGAGACCGACTGTGCCTGTTGGTGCAGGGGCGTCTGGTAGAACGGGTTCGCGGACGTAATGGTCGTATACGTATTCGCTATCAATGTCCATTGCATCGCCATCGACGGTCGAATTGTCTTGGGCAGCGAGAGCTGCAGCCTTGTCTGGATGTCGTTCTGCAAAGCGTTTTGCTGGAGCTTTGGGCTTGTGTTTTGAAGGAGAGGGGATAGGAATCTCGAGGTTGTCTACTTTTTCTACCTCTTTTGACAGAGCCTCCAGGTTGCGGACATCATTTTCTGAGGGTTCGGTGACAGGGGGTTTCCGGTGTATGGAAGGCTTCGCTGAGTGGTGGAGTGCGCTGCCTGCGCCTGGTCGCTTTCGTGGTCGCTCTGGTAAAGCTTCTGGTACTGGTGCTTGCACTTGTCCACCTGTCGGTATATCTTCCTTCTTGGTGACTTCTTGTTCTTCCACGAAATGCCGTTTTGCACCAATTCTTGAAACGGGGTCGAGGCGAAATCGTCGGGCGAGCGTCGGTGTTGGCGGTGCTGATGATACCTGTTGGACGTCGTCGCCCGGCTTTGTGAGACGCCTGTATGCGAAGTTGCTACTCCTCTGCCGTTTGATTTCCTTTTCGCCGTGCTCGATCCTAAGGGAGTCGACGGGGGTATCGGTGCGCTTTCGTTTGATAGAGATTGTGTTGGGTGGAAGTTGTTGTGACGACATTGTGGCGGTAGTGGAGAAAGACGTGATAGCAAATGAGTAGTCCAAGCCTGGATCGATATTTCGTATAGATATCCTGGTGGTGAACGGGTCCAGCGAATCGGAGGGGCAGCGCGGGGAGGTGACATCAAAGCATTCCAGAAGCCGCGCAGAGCCCCAGTGCACTAGCGCGATCTACACCCGCGTGTCACGCCTCGAGCTCACCCACGCGATATGATCATGAGTCTTACCTGTACCCACACGGCTTGAACATGTCTGCCTGTGCTCACCCGTACAGTCCTACTATCGCTCTTAAAGACGTCCCTTGCTTGTAGACGTGCACCGTTATATCCGCAATTCCGCAATACATCCCCGAGCACACCTCAAACGCGACGACGCCTGCTATCATGGATCGGGTGCGGCAGATATTCGAGCGCGAGAACTCGTCAGCCGCGTATGAACCGCTACAGGGGGGCTCTGAGCGGCCAGATGGCGAGCACATCGAAGCAGAGGAACACGCATTCTCATGGACCGACTATGCCGTCTTCACGCTGCTGGGCGTCTCTATGCTATGGGCTTGGTTGGTAACCCAGACATCACAGCGTACATGATACTGACTGCACTAGGAACATGTTCCTGGCAGCAGCCCCGTACTTCCAGCGACGCTTCGAGTCCAGCGATAATCTGCTCCGCAACTTCCAGTCTTCCATTCTATGCGTCTCCACCGTAGGCAACCTAGGCTCCATGATGGTCTTGACCAAGCTCCAGGCCCGTGCCAACTACCCCAAGCGTATCATCGCATCCCTCGCCCTGAACGCCGTTGTCTTCACCTTGCTCGCTATATCCACAAAGTTCTTCTTGAACATATCCGTTGGTGTCTACTTCGCCTTCCTCATGCTCATGGTCTTAAGCGCTAGTCTAGCGACGGGGCTCTGTCAGAACGGTGTCTTTGCATACGTATCGGGATTCGGAAGAGAAGAGTATACACAAGGAATCATGTCTGGCCAGGGCATCGCTGGCGTCCTGCCTTCCATTACCCAGATCATATCCGTCCTACCCGTGCCCAAAAAGCACCACGCCCATGGAGCACCGCAAGAGTCAAGCACATCTGCTTTCATCTACTTCCTAACCGCTACTGCTGTTTCTGCTGCAACCCTGGTAGCATTCTTCTACCTCCTTTCCCGGGCTAGCTCCAAGCAGCGCTTGTCGCACGCCTCACTCAATGAAGGACCAGAATACGACCCGGCTCACAGCGAGCGCAAGAGCATACCACTAACGAGATTGCTCAGGAAGCTCTTTTGGCTCGCTGGCGCCGTCTTTCTCACTTTCACAATCACCATGTTCTTCCCAGTCTTCACGCCACAAGTGCTGAGCGTGCGCGACCCTTCAACTGCACCTCGTCTTTTTCAGCCGGCGACTTTCATACCTCTAGGCTTCTTCTTCTGGAACCTTGGTGACCTTATGGGCCGAGTAGGACCCGCTCTGCCTGCCCTACGTCTTACGCATCGCCCGCGACTCCTATTCTTCTTGTCTATTGCGCGAGTATTCTTCATACCCTTGTACTTTCTCTGTAATATCGGTGGAAGGGGCGCCGCTATCAACTCCGATTTCTTTTACTTGTTCGTTTTGCAGTTACTCTTTGGCATAACAAACGGCTACTTGGGGAGCAACTGCATGATGGGTTTCGCAGAGTGGGTTGAGCCGGAAGAACTTGAGGCAGCAGGGAGCTTTATGTCATTGTCGCTAGTTGGTGGTCTCACCACGGGAAGCTTCTTGAGCTTCTTTGCTGCACAGTCCTCGTGAGCTTGGGCATTCTCATGAGTGTGGCTTACCCACGCGACCAGCATCAGCGGGTTCGTTGATAGCTAACGTTGAATATGAAATCTCCTATGAGCCACGCAGAATCGCTTCTTTGAATCTTCTTTAAATCTTCTTTCAACTTTGCAAAACAATGGCTACTAACATCATCTACATAGTTGTTAGATGCCAGCTCCACCTTCGCACTGCTCAGCAGAAACAAAACGGTGGGAAATTCAAAAAACCCAAATTTAGCTGGACGGAGAAGACGGCACAGAACAATGCTTTCCTCCAGCCCGAAGAGTCAGGGAGCACATACGAGGTGGTAGAACTAGAAGCTGCAGATGGCTCACGATGGAAGACCAAGCTAGTCCATAGCACGTCTTGTGAAGAGGACGTTCGTATCGCTGGTCACAGCCATATCAAAGAGGTCGCTCTGCAGCACCGGATGGAAGAAGCTAGGAAGCATATAGACGAGCTCAAAAAAGCAGAGATCACGGTAATGGGAGCTCAAAGTCTCTATGGAGAAAGCGAGACGGCTGTTCACTATGCCTCCCAACTCCGTCTACCTCGTCATTCATTCCCAATTACTCCTTACAAACCCAAAAGATAAACCCTGTTTTCGCGTTGTTACCGAATTGTCCAACCTCCATGCTCGCTTCACCAGCCACGACCATGGCAATCATAAATACACCGATGTTCGCGTCATAACTTCCGGGACTAGGCTCGGAGAAGAGTGGGAGGTCGAGCTCGAACACGATGTTCAACAAGACATCGAAATCGTCGGCTGGTGCAATACGCTAGAAGCCGCTGCAGAGAAGTTGACAAACAGCTTACTGGATAACAATAATGCACATGAGCAACGTACAGCGGAGGAAAATGGCGATAAGCAGAAAGTACGAGTGACGTTGGAAACTTCTCTAGACGGGAACTTAACAGCATTCTGCCGCATCAAGTCAACCCAGACGAACTTTGACGGGTCAACATCGCAAGCCACGACGTCCCACTGGTATGAGATCATCCGTGTCAATCTTGAACACGAAAATATGTATGACGTGTCATGGCGCGAGAAAGCCCGTTTGTCTCGCCTGGAGGTCTCGAAAAGAATTGGTATCCTCTCGATGAAGATGAGAAGCCAGGGGCTTAGTCAGTCGGAATTAGATGAGCTAGACAGGTTGCACAGGGGCTTGGGATACTTAGTTGTTGCAAAGGATGATTTAGAGGAAGTCGTGAGGTATGTAAGGGAGAGGGAGGAGGAAAGCAAAGGGGTGGAGGAGTGTATTTAGATTGAGTTTGTGCCGACTAGCGATAGCGATGGTCAGGATGAGAGACATAGGGGAAAGAGGTATGTAGAACTGGAAGTGGATGATGACATGATCATAGGGCCGAGTGGCTCGGGGTCGTGCCTCGAATACTGTTCGGATTGTGTTTTTTTTTTTGGATTGTATCTTGTCTCTTTTCGTATCGTTTTTGAATATTCGGACTTCTCACAAGGCACCCAATTCCTTGAGTTTGCTGATCATACCGTCTACATCTTCAACCTTGACACCACCCTTCCGTGGCGGTGGCTCGGTAACCTTGACCGTCTTCAACCTGATCTCAGTGTCCAGCCCGTAGTCGCTCAGACTCTTCTTGTCCAGCTTCTTCTTCTTCGCCTTCATAATGTTGGGTAAACTGGCATACCGGGGTTCGTTGAGGCGCAGATCCGTAGTGATGACCATGGGCAGCTTGGCCTTGATAGTTTGAACACCACCATCGACTTCTTGTACTACCTCGACGGTTTGGTCGTTGATTGTGACTTTGGACGCTTGGGTTGCTTGGGGCCAGTTCAGCAGGCCTGCGAGCATTTGTCCTGTTTGGCCGGCATCGTCGTCAATGGCTTGTTTCCCTAGGATGACCAAATTGCTCTTTTGCTCATCTACTACTTTTCGCAGAAGCTTCGCGACACCAAGGGGTTCCAGGGCGTCCTTTTCTTCTACAACTACGTGTATGCCTCGGTCTGCGCCCATGGCCATGGCTGTGCGGAGAATATCTTGAGACTTGGGAACTCCCGCAGAGAAAGCGACAATCTCTTCTACGTTGGGGGCGTTTGCATGGTGGGCCTTCTTTTCGCGCATGCGGACTGCTTCTTCGATGGAGAGTTCGTCGAAGGGGTTCATTGAATGTTTTACGTTTGCGGTTTCTACGGCGGTTTGGGCGCGGTTTACGCGGGGCTTGACCTTTTCATGGTGTCAGCATACTAGCCGGCACGGGGGCTTGTGTGCTCATCGTCTTGAGCATCTCGTATTCGAACACCATCTTTCAGACACCCAAGCTGAACACTCGAGCGTCATGTCTAAAAGTCGGGTCAATGAACGTACCGCATAGTCAATGACCCGCTTAACGGGAACTAATATCCTCAATCCTGACATTGTGTGTGTTTTGCCTCTTCAACACCTGGCAGCGCAATGTTCTGGGGTATCACAGGTGATGATGTAGAAGAACCAGGGTGGGGGATAGCATCGGAGCTCGTCCTTGAGTTCGCGATGCTTAGCCGAGGCTTTTTCCGATGTCCGCGTCGGCCTTGGCGGAGATCGTCGTCATATGGTGGCGCACGCGAACTACATCTAGAATACATGGAGGACAACCACAGTGTCGTTCATACAACTCGCTACTTCGTGCTTCACATTCTCATCATGATGCTTGCAGATCATTCTCGCACGTTGTTGGTAGTAACCTCTGACGGCCCCCTCAATTGTATCAACGAGCAGCGATTCACGAGTCACGAACATTCAAAGACACCATTCTCAACATGTTGCGCACTGCGGACCTTGCACCAGCTGTGCAGACAAAAGCGCCCTTTCTCGGAGTTGTTACCAATGAGAAAACATCGAGTATATGTTCAAGAACCAGTTACCCCCTCGGCAAACTGCTTACAACTCGCACAAAACCCGAAAGTTCTAGCGGCGTTGTACTCCCAACATTGTTGCGCGTATTCTGGCGTCGTAGTCCCGCAGCCATCACCTAGAAGTACACAATCATATCCATTGCTAAACGCATCCGTCAATGTACCTCCTACACACTGCAGATGTGAAGATACGCAGTCAGTATATGCCTCATATGCGTTCCGTACAGGCACAGCTTACCTGATCCGTGTTGACACCAGTAAAGAATAACGTTCTAATGCCCTCTTTATCCAAAAACTCTTTGAGAGGCGTCGTTGAACCCCACATTCCACTCATTCTGTTCTTATGTATCCAGACATCGGGTTTACTCTCTAACTTGCTGCCTTCATCGAACATGGCGTCGAGTGGAGGTTGGAGTGCAGCGTTCCAGGAATCGCGCATGAGTAGTTTACCTCCCTCTACAGTTTTGCCATCCGGAAACTTGAGAGTCCCGCAGTCTGCCCCAATTCCACGGTAGAAGGACTGATTTTCCTTGCCATGACGATCCACGCTGATACTCTCTTCGTGATGCCCGAAAGCGTCCTCAGCTTTGAAGTCGACGTCTGCGGGGATGGAAAAGAAACCAAAAGCGCGCTTCACTGCTGGTGGCATTTCTTCGACTTCCTCTTCCGTAAGCCCCCAGTTCACCCATATTACTCTGATGCCGGCTTTCCGCGCCGCTGGTATGGCATGTGCGGCCAACTGTTCACAAGCAGCGTGTCCCGGACCTTTCTGGTCGCGACCAAAGGCTTCGGAGAGAAAGAAGTTTTGCATATCAATAATGATAAGGGCGGACTTTGACGGATCGATCGTAATGGGTTCAGTTGATGTCTGTATGATATGTGTAGGACCAGTAACTGGCGACGAATGTACTGACGGATGGGTGAGATCAAACCCATTTTTGGAAGAGTGTGACCAAAAGTTCGAAGGCGAGCCTATCAAGGCTTTGCGGTGTGGTTCTGTTGGTATTGTAGAAGACATGGTCGCGGCAATTGCCGATATGATAGGTTTGGGCGATCGGTGTTGATTCTGAGCGTTGAAATTTATGCAACGTGACAGTAGGTTTCGAGACTCATATTCAATAGGTACTGGGAAAGCCAGCAATGATATAAGTCTTCAAACAGTCATCAAATGGTGTGGCCACTATCAGAGTGCCGGATAAGGAAGGCCAGTATCTCATCTGCCGAGGCGGGGTAGTTCGGTGTAGATCCGAGATAGTCGTTTTGTAGAGAATATGACCAAGAGGTATTTCTACATGCATATCTATGCCCCTAGACATATATTAAGATTGAGCTAGGATACGGTGTTACCGGAATCCAGCAAGTCGCTTCCTCGCGACTTGCAGGAGCTGCGACGACCCTTCTTTCTGATTGGTCGTGTTCGGAGTCTCAATTATCTGATGCAAATATCTCCTGGCTCGTTCGTTGTTACCGATGGAGTCATAGTAATCCGCAAGCTGCAACATTGAAGGTTTGTGGCCGATGACAGACGCGACTTGTTGCCACTCTCGCGCCAACGCAGCAGTACTGCCTTGTCTCCAGCTTAGCACCCAGTTGAGCGCTTTTCGTATGCTGTCGCTCTTCAAAATAGTAGGTTCTACTGTCGCCACTTCTTGGTAGAAGTCGGTAAGATTTAGTATTGCTTGTTCATGGCCGGATGCTGCTGCTTTGCTGGTATATTGCAACCACTTCTGACTTGTCCTCGGCTCAAACGCTGCAAGCTCATAGTATGACAGTGGATCATCGCCTTCAAGAGCGCCCTTTTGAAAGTAAAACTTGGCTTCTGCTTGTACTTTGGGGTCTTTGTCTGCTTTGAGAAGATAGCCAAGCGCATTCCATGGTGCTATGAGAGGCAATTTCATTGCATGCGCTGATTGTCCAGGCTGATATTTGAGAGCTGCAGTTGTGATGACTTGTTGATATGCTTTCTTAGCTTCCTGCTTTTGTCCTGCTTGCTCCAGGAAGAGTCCTCGTAGAGTTGAGATTTCCAGAACCAAGCCAGGATCCTTTTCCAGGGACTGTAGGTCGATCGCGTCGAGAGACAGACGATACTGGGCTATTTCTTGCTTTGGAAATAGTCTCGTGATCTCTTGAGCAGAACTATGGCCTGAGCCGCCAAGATAGACGGCGGTCAGGATGTGTGTTATCGCTAGAGGGTCTCCACTTTGCGCACATCCCTGAAGCAGCAGTCCAGCGGTATTCTTGTGTTGACTTGGAGGCAATTGAGCTCTTTTCGCCGCATCGCCAATATCAGGTATCTTGAAAGTGACGATTGCAAGAGACGCTACATCGTTCAGCGGCACGTTGTATTCTGCTTGTGTTAGTAACATCTACGAGTGTACGTATGGGGATAACACCCACTGTTCACTATGCGCAAGACGTTTTTGCCGTGGGGCATGGTGTTCTTATGCGCAACGAAATCATCATAGATGCTCATGGCAGTACGAGGCTCTATTTTGTGTATTCCTTCATGCTTCGTCAAAGTGTAGAAGCCAAGTCGACCGCGTGCATCGACATCAGCGCGCAACCTCGGAGCGTCAATTCTTTGCTTGGTAGCATAGTTCTGGACTCGCATGCTTGTTGCAAAGTCGCACGAAGATGTTGGATATCTCGTGGCATTGCGACGAATGGCCAGAGCGAGTTGATGCGATTGACACATGATGCAAGGTTCCAACCTCGCAATTGCTCTGGCTGAGCGTAAGGCTATTCGGGAAGCCGCCATGGTGACTCTGTGTCCAGTCGATAGAGTTGTGTGGTGGGAGATTGAGTCCACCATATGGTGGCCGCCGTTAGCCTCGGAGGTCCGCAATGACCGCGAAATCTTGGCACGCCAGAATCTTTTTGCATGTCGCGAACGATCCACAACCCAGGAACGACGAGCACAATCGCGGTTCGTACACAACGCATCCAAGCCCATAGAAACAGAGTCGCAATGGTCACTACACGAGGCGGAACGGAAACGCCAGGCGCGCCGACGCCGACACCAACACCACGCAGCTCGACGAGGAAAGCAGCAGGAAAGCGAGAACTCGAGTCACTAGAAACACCGACACAAGCAAAGAGGCAGCGGAAGTCTGCGTCTACACCCTCGTCCAAGAAGAGAACTACTAAAAAGGCGTCTGAGGCGGACGCGCCTTCGCAAGAGTCTGCAGACAACACCTCTGACACCGTCACCATCAACGCGTCTGCAACAGAAAACCCCCAGACACCAAAAAAGGATGACCTTGCACCACTCGGACGTCGATCCAGCCCTCACGTTGTAGTCAGCAGGAAGTCACTGGACGACTCTACGGCCACAGACAGCTTTGGGGAGAGCAAAGACGAGGCCCCAGCAACTTCACAAAACCCGTCTTTCTACACACCCGCACAGCAGCCTGGCTCTGGCTCTGGCTCTGTATATGCGACACCGGCTACAACATTCAAACAGCAGCCTGAAGGATCACCTACACCGAAGGCTAAGACGGCAACTCGTCAGACACCCGCATCGACGTCAGCGAAGAAGGGCAAGGGGCGCCCCAAGAAGGTCGCAGAAACACCATCCAAGTTCCCCGACGAGATCCCAACGTCCTCATACGAAAGTAACGCTGCTCCGATACCCTCGCAAGATCACGTTCTTCCTTCTGCACAACCCAAGAAGGCGCACAAGCGCTTTGGTAGTGAGGAGCTTGCAGAAGCGCAAGAGTCGCTCGTCGTGAACGAGCAGAGCGATAAGCGACACGAAGAGCCTACTATCCAAATGAATCAAGTGGATGAAGACGAAGCTAGCGACTCGGACGACGAAGCACCTGAGGTAGTCACAACAGCCGCTGCAAGTTCCAAGGCACAAGCTGTGCAAGCCGAAGCCGATCGTGCACAAAAAGCCCAGCAAGAAAAAGAACGGGCCAAGCGACAAGCGCGCGAAGAGCTCATCGCCGCCCAACAAGCTGCAAAGCGCGAGCGTGAGGAGAAGAAGGCAAAGAAACTAGCAAAGAAGACTGCCAGGGAAGCAAAGACCATTGCCGACTCGGACGATGAAGAGTCTGAGCCCATGTCGCGCATGGACATCGATATAACCAATGGTCTACTACCCACATCCCTCCTCGAAACCATCGACGACCAACGTCCTCCCACACCGCCGCCCGAGCGTCGCGGAAAGACCGAAGAAGAGCTCAGGAAGGAGAAGCTCAACCATCATATCAAGTTCCTCGAGCGTGTTGACAAGCCGGCGAAGGATGTAAAGAAGGGCAAGCTCAGTGTAGCGGTGTTGGCCCAGCAGAACAGGGTGCTACCGCCCAAGGTCAACAGGAATACAAAGAATGTACGCGAACACTGGTTAAAGGGTCGTGAAGTGGAGAAGACACGCGGGAAGCCTGGCGTTAGGTTCGGGAAGAAGATGGAGAGGAGGCCGCATGCTAGCCGGGGTTTCTTGAGAAACGGTGATGACTAGACAACAGTGTATTATCAGTTGAGCTTTAGTCGTATGCAAAAGATATCCAGTGTCTTTCGACATGTATGCCTTGGATGACGGACATTTTTTCGTCTTTCGTTCTCCTACTCTATATCCCTGTTATGCTATTTACCGCCTTCCAGGCCTCTTGGGCTTAGCGAAGCCTTTACTCTCCTCCTTCTTTTCCACCTTGAACTCATCCATGATGACCTGCTCAGTGATTTCTTCAGGATCTGTCGCCTCAATCTTCTTCTCCACCTTCAACCCACCTTCGTTCTGCGCCAGACTGACCACGTTACCCCTACTTGCCGCGTACAACATCCTCTCCCTGATCTTCGCTCCACTAGGACACGTCGATATGAAGACGATACTCGTCGCAGAGTCATCGTGGCGGTAGAACGAATACCGTGGCTCCTTTGCATCAATAGCCTGGGCGATGGTAGAAGGCGTTGCGGACGACGAAGAGACCAACTCGAGGGTCTCATTCGAGCCGTTCATGCGCAGCTGCACAAGATTATCGGTCCCACCTTGACCCAGCTTCTTCAGCGCACCGCCAATCTCATCGCTGGCACGAATGGCAATCCTGCCTCCTTGAGCTAGGCCCTGACCGCGCGTCCCTCTACTCTCCAGCGCCTCAGCAGCCTTGATATCTTGCAACGATTGTTCTTCCGCCGTCAGCGGGTTTTCCGATTCCGTATGCGCAATGTGCTTCTCCCATCCTTCCGACGTGAGCTCTGAAGCTTCGGTTGTGAAGACGCTCTCGGCGAAGTGTTCTCCGCCCAACTCACGCACGAGTGTGAGGCGTGTAGACGCGAAGAGCATTTTTTGACGTACAGGCGCAGCATTGGGGACGTAGGTTACGGCCACGAGGGACTTGTCGGGTGAAGCGAGCGAGTCGGCGCGGCGGAGGAGGATGTAGAGGGCGGCATTGGGTTGGATGTGGGATTGGAGGTTCGAGAGGTCGGCATTGAAAGTGGATGATGACGAGGATATTGTGCCGCTGGGGACAATGGTTTCGTTCTGGATTGTGGCTATGATACCGCGTTGTGATGTCGACGTTATGAGGCTGCCGAGGGCAGACTTGAGCTCTTGGGAAGCTATGAGGCGTTGTTAGCGGGGTTGTGAGGTTTGGACGCGTGATCTTTACCGGAGATACCAGACTGCATCTTTGCAAGTCTCTACTACAATGTCTTATGTGGCTGTTGTAGTAGTTCAAAGTGAGGGTTGCAGTATTGTTGAAAGGTCGGATTTGAATGTTTACACTGACGTTGAACCAGCGGTGATGTTGTACTATAGTGGGGCAAGTGGGCTGGAAGGCGGATGCACCTTGGCAGCCCTGCTTGTATCGTCATGCGTAATTTCACATCTTGTACCTTTGAGTTGTACTTGTTGTGAAACTTCATATGCATTTATAGGCTGAACTATGTTATCCAAAAGAGCACGTGGATATCATGAGGCGCTTTCTAATGGACCAAAAGATGCAATCAGCGCTCACTCCTCGTATGCCCCACCAGGGAGCATCTCTCTTCCTTTCTCCAACACACCCTTCAGATACTCGTACACGGTAAATGTAACGGCTTGGCCGGGAGCAACTCGCATGACACGCGGTGTGATTCCCTTGTAGAAACTGCGTACACCTTCCTGTTTCCACATGTCGCTATCGATGGTCAGCCAATTCCTATGAACTTAGATTCATTTGAGACTTACTTTCCGATGTTTACTATCCTCTGGACAGCACTTTGACCTGCTTCCGCCGGTGTCTTCTGTAACCTCGTCTTGATAGTGTCGATCGGCGCATTTGTGAACGGACCAACAGCACCACTGATCAACCCAATCAGACTCGTCTCATAACCTGGCAGGTCCGTAGTGCCGTGGTACTTTTGCAATTGCGCCCTCAGTTCCGAGTATGCAGTGAAGTTTGCCGCTTGGTTCGTTCCCTGACGCAATGCTGTGAGCGAGACACCCCGCCATAATGCGCCAGCACCTTCCTCCTTTATGACAGTGTACATGGCATGGGCGGCGTTTCGGTACTTCGGTATATCGAGCGGATCAGCCATCGAGTGGTGCTGTGCTTGTAAACGGATCTTGACAACCTCCATTGGTGTGACGACAAGGACGGCTTCCGTGATACCAGCAGCGAGACCAGCTGTAGATTGTTAGAATGTAGTCTTGCTTCAGCTGGGTCTCTCCTGGAACAATGCGTCTGCGTGCGCCGTGCGCTTCTCAAGATCGTACACGTACCCATGAATGTTGATTTCGACGCGACATTACCCTCCTTGTCTGCCAACAGCTGCTTATACCACTCGTAACTCGTAAATCGTATAGCCATCTTTGGAACAATGCCTGTGAGCACGGCGCCTAATCCCTTATATAGACCTAATGCTGTTTCCCTCTTTACGATCTCGGCTCCGGTCGTGATGAAACCACGCTTCTTCGCCTATGACATAATTAGGTCAGTGACATTCTGAATAACGCATGTTAATGGCGAAGGTATGAGTCTGAACGTACTCCTGGTGCACGAGCTCGTCTTGACAGTTGCATTCGGACTTTGATTGTGTCTAATCCCAAATTAGTCTCAGGGCACCTGCGATGCTGGCACAAAGGATTAGAAACGTACCTAGCGGATGGCACGCGAGTGCCTCCATCATTCCAGCACCACCACCGGCTTCGTACTAAGGTCAGCATTCTATTGCGGACACATGCCCTCCGGATCCATTTCCAGAAGCTTACCGATCAAGTTTGTGGCCGCCGACGCGGGCTTCTTGCCGCCAGGCCCTTGCACCGACTTTGCAGACATGCTGTGTAGTGTTGTAGCTCAAGAGATCAGGAAGATCGGAGTTGCGCGAAATAGAGACCAAGAGGACCGAGAACTTGAGCACGTGGGGTTACACGAAGTTATGACGCTGAAGGAGCAATCCTGAGCTTTACCCTAGTTTTGAAATGGGAGCTACAGCGCGTGGTCAAAACCTCGGCTTTTCGATATGACGACAGAGGACGAGCGCTATTCAAAAGCAACAACCGTGTAATGGGTATCAAGAAGAAGACTTGAAAGGAAGTTAGGAAAGCAAAGCAAAAGATGAGCGCAAGGAAATTCGTCAGTCATATTCAAACCATCGCTGATCAGAAGCCTGTCTACCCGCGGGTGTGAG